CTGCAAGTCGTCGGCTGTCTGTGGTGCCCAGCTACGACTCGGGACACTGTTTTTATTTTTGTCATGTCATGTAAATAATTTTAAATAACATGCGAATAAGCACATACAGTGTGTTACTTCCAACTGTCATGAGCGCAGCACATCTGTGTGCGACCCTCTTAAAGATGGAGTCTGCCTTAGCTTTGTGGATCAGTGACTGCAGAAAAAAAAACCTGGATGCCAACATTATCCAGACAAAAGCTAAAAAAATGTATTAACCTCTTGCTGAGAGCGATAAACATTTGCACCTGACAACAGGTTTTGATCTTTGGTTTCATTCTATATATGTACCAATACTGGACTTATTTTTTTTATGAAAGTTCAAATTTTGAGTGTTTAAACAACAGAGATAAGTGTGAAAACTTTAGTGCCTGTCTGAGAAAAGTGTATAAAGTGTGTAGTAAAGGGGTTTTACAGCCTTCAAACATCTATGACAATTGTAAAAATAAAGCTGACTATGCCGGTTTCACCTATCGAGAGTTATTTTTTGAATGTAACATCCGCGAATATTGAGAGACCATTGTATTACATTTCATTGTTATTATTATGTTATTATTCTATCCACATTTAATTTTCCATTAATATTAACAAATTCATTGTGATATCACTCAAGAAAAAATAAAAGATAAATCAGTTGAATGCTAATGAGAGCCAGAATTAACAGCTTGAGTGAATGTAACACAATTTTTGTAATCTAGTCTAATCTGACAACACGGTTTGCCGACACATGAACTGGGCTAACAGCAGTGAACCGCAAACGACTCTGATAAGCGAGTAAACTCTTACTTGTTTTGTGGGGAGCAGGGTCTGGTCAGATACTGGCACATCGGCAGCAGAAGGAACGCAAATGCAATGGTTGCTAGAACTACAGAGAACAAACAGAAACACAAGACAAAGCAAACAATCATGTAAATATTACTTCAGTGGATGAACTAGGTCAGTGTGTGAGAAAGGAGTGGTGGAAGGTCACTGGTGTGTTTGTATGCACACATACCTGCAGTGCATATGGTGAAGACCACCTGAACCGAGTCAAAGAAGAAAAACATGACGAGCAGAGACACGGAGGCTCCGATTGGCAGGAACAGCGCCTGTGTGGAGTCTATGGTCTGAATACCTGCGCAAACAAGTTCACATGAGATCATTCACAGGCTATGTTTACACTGGTGTGCTTTCACTTTAACATGAAACGCGTCTGCTATGCTTACACTTTACATACACACTGTCTGAAACCTCTAAAACAAAGACTTTTGGAAATGCTGAAAACTAGAAATAAGCATTATGGATTTAAAAGTAAATCATAGTTTCTTTTATTTATTTCTGAAATGGTATCAGCAATGCCAAGTCATATGCATCCACTCCGTAACAAGTCCTTTATCTTTAGAGAGAACTGTTCTTTTCCATTTGTATTAGGGCTGTGTGATATGGGCAAAAGTAACCATCACGATTTTTTCAAAGATATTGCGATTTCAATTTTAATCATGATTTTGTCAGAGACAGACTAAATCTGTGTTTACAGCGTAAATCTGAAACATATTTTAAAAGAAAAACACTTAGATATTTATCAAAGGCCTGTAACATGTCTCTAAAACAAACATAAAATAAAAATTACCTAGTAAAGCAGTGACTAACTGTCTCTAGAACAGACCTGTGGCAAAACAAATGTGTGTGTGTGACAGGATGCACAGTCAAACTCAAGCTAGGTTCTGATGTTCTGCTTGACCAAATATCAAAAGTAGTTGCTTGTGTGTTTAGTTTTGTTTTGTTATGCATAGATCACACACCTTTTTGTGACACTGAAATATGTTGTTCACATATCGTGTCTTTTGCACGCACAAGTCCATTATTTCCATTGGAGGTGCGTGCAATAAGAACTGACCGATAAGCTTCATACTTCGTATGGAAGATACACATTTCAGTTACCTCAGACAAACGCAACACACCCGAACACCAAGTGCTTTTTAATTTTCTCTATGCATAAAACTTTCAGAACTGCAGCATTGTTTTGTTAGTTTGTCTTCCTCTGAGACAACCATTGATGGTCACCAAGCAACGACAAATGAGCGACCGCAAAGCACGTTAAAAATGCTGAAGGAAGCAACGTGCTGATGCTTTCCACGCGCTTTTAAATGACTGACTTACAAATCACCCAGTTCTGCCATATATCAGCCTTCCTGTATCCAAAGTAACTTCTGTGGTAACCCCATACCACAGATGTTGACTTTTTTGGCAACAAGTCCTCCTGTGCTGAACTCATCATCCCTGTATAGGCAGGCTATTCAGTCCCCTGTTCTTGCTCTGTTTAGGTGTGCTACGTTATGATTGGTTTAAATACCTTAATGCGGGAACCATAGTGCAAATAGATTTAGAAATCGTGCAGAACCAAATGGGGATTTTGATACAATTTCAACTAATCGCACATAGGCTTGGGCGGTAATACGGTAATATGGTATACCCCATTGGATCTAAAAATAGCAACAGTGTCAATTTCAATACCGTTATATTGTCATGAAAAAAACAATGCACTTAAATAGGAGACAAGCATTAAATAATAATAAATAATATTTATTTAATGGGAGAAGGGAGACGTGGTAAATAGGAACTAGAGGTCTGCATTCCCCCTGCTGAATCGCGGCAGCCAACCAGATTTCTTGCAGTGCAGGAATGAGTTTCCGAATAAAGCGCGGGAGCGGTCGGTAACTCTGTAATTTGAAAGGGAGCGGGCGCACGGTCTAACAATATCGCTTCCGAGCGAGCACGCGTGCATCTGCATGGATGCTTGTTTGTGTGTATGTGTGTGAATGTGAGACAGAGAGAGAGAGAGAGAGAGAGAGAGAGAGAAATAGAGAGAGTATAGTGCTATACGTCTCTCTCTCCGTCTGTCTGTCTGTGTGTGTGAGAGAGAGAGAGAGAGAGAGAGAGAGAGAGAGAGAGGGAGAGAGAGAGAGAAATAGAGAGAGTATAGTGCTATACGTCTCTCTCTCCGTCTGCCTGTCTGTGTGAGAGAGAGAGAGAGAATGAGAGAGAGAGAGAGAGAGAGAGAGAGAGAGAGAGAGAGAGAGAGAGAGAGCTTCCTGCGCAGATCTCTAATACAAACAAGACATATACGGTATTCAGTTTCTGAATGGTTTAGGCACAAGCAAACAGTTTGGTGATGCTGTCTGAGCCTTGCGTCATATTTTTTTTATTATGCACGGTAATCCTGAATACCGGGGTAAAATAGGAAGGAGGTTTGACGGTATCAAAATTTGGATACCGCCCAAGCCTAATCGCACAGCCCTATTTGTATATGTACATGTATGTATTAAACACATACTTAGCTAAATTAACACAATTAAGCCTTTAAACTGCACTTAAACCCGAATATCAGCATCATGCAGAATAACTAGTAAGACATTATGTACCACCATGGTAAAGAAAAAGAGAATAGTTATTAGAAATGAATAATTAAATCTATTGTTTAAACATAAAACACATTTAATTATTTATTTTAAAAAGGATGCTGTTTTAAAAAAGCATTAAACTAAACAAACATGAAGGTAATAAATACATGATTGTGGAAATATATGACATGCTGTGTTGCTGCTCTTGTGAATTACTGATGTCAAGCCTCTATCCATAAGCAACTTCATAGATTACAGTTAATTCAGAACTCAGCAGCTAGGATAGTCACCCGCTCACGTGCTTCTGATCCCATAACTCTGATGCTCTTTCACCTGCACTGGCTTCCTGTTCACTGTTGTGTACAATATAAAATTCTTCTTTTAACATACAAAGCTCTTCATGATCTGGCACCAAACTATCTCTGATCTTCTTCATTTATACACTCATTTGCCCTCACTGAAATCTTCCACTGCTGAATCATTATCAGTTCCCAATTTTAATATGAATTCACTTGGTGGCAGTGCTTTTAGTTGAACAGCACCAAGGTTATGGAACTCCATGCCATTGCACATTCGTCAGGTGGACTCCATTTCCAAATTTCCAATTTTATCTTGGGTAAAAACTTTTCTGTTCAGCATTGCTTTTAATGACTTTCTGGTCTAATATCCTGTTTTTTTTTCTTTCCTTACTCGTTGTATTTTTATGATGTGCTTGTGACATATTGTAAGGTGTCCTTGAGTGTTTTGAAAGGTGCCTATAAATAAAAGGTAATATTATTATCCTATATATTAACATTAGGAGTTGTTTAATTTATGACAAGTGCTCAAAATAAAGTCAGAAAGTGAGTCCTGTGCTTTTTTGTTTCAAAATTCAAATTTTTTTCTTGTCTTGCATAAGCCTTTTGCATGCACATAACATATCACAGCTTTTAATAACTTGCCACCACAGCCTGCAGTCAAACAAAATTCACAGGTTTTACAAGGATACTGAAACACGAGTGAAGCAACATTTGGTTTCCATAATTTATAGTGAATATTATAATTTGTGTTCTGTTTAATAAATGTATATAAATGTGTACTGTACTATAATAATATTGTTACTTAGATTTTCAGATTTGTATTTTGTTTTTTTATGATTACATGTTATATTTAAAGCATTTGCTGCCAAGTTAAATCTTATGAGGCACCAGAGTGGAGACAAGTCAAGAGAACACGGTCCTACCTCGCGTGCTCTCGGTCTCTCTGAGTGCTGGTGTGCGAGTGAGGCCGAGTGCTGGCGGCCAAAAGGCTTTTTTTTACTCTGAATAAAAGCAAAGTTACTTTATAATATTCTATAGTCTTTGAATAACGTCATATAAAGAATAGATAATGTATCAGTTTGTTATATTACAGGCCTAATGATTGTTACATATTAAAATATTATAGTGGACACATTTAATAATGCTCAACATATCTGCTCAGTTTAAAACTCAAGAATAAATGCATTTATTTTCAAGATATTGATTGATTTTTCCCCAATTGTTTTTTTTAATTTTCTTAACATGAACATGTTCAGTATTTTTTTAAAAGAATGAGGAAACAGGGTAATAAACAGCATTTTAAAAGTCACAAAACTGCTTAAATTATCTTAAATAAAGTGTCAATTATAATTTCACACATGTTACAATTGTATTAACAAAACATGTCATTTTTACATCAAATAAAACCCAACTTATTGAGCATAGTTACTAGTAGGGCTGTGCAATTAATCGAAAATCCGATTTTGATTTCAGCTTCTAGCGATTATGAAAAACCATTAATCGAGATAAACGATTATTCCATTAATTACCGCCCTCTTTCCAGTTGTACACATTTGCTGCTCTTAAAAGCGCGAAAGACTGAATGCTTATGTGTGTGCGGCGCGCAGACACAGAGCGCTTTAATGCTCAATTAGGTGTCAGAACGCGGTGTTTAATGATTATTCATATTAACCCTCATCTGTGTAATAAACAAACGAGTTGAGGATTAGAAGACAAGTGAAAGCGAAACCATTAAAGTGACAGCGCGATATTCCTGCTGCCGCCTGTTTTTATCATTATTAATAAATCAACAAGGAGAAAATCCCTAACTGCTCTTGACTGAAGGACTTTTAGCTAAAGTGTTTTTCTTACATCGAAGATGCTTAAAGCACAGTTAGTTTTATATTTTTATTCTTTGTATTTATTTCTCTTTCATTTGCAGGGTGGAAAATAACTGTATATGTGCAGTTGAAGTCAGAATTATTAGCCCTCCTGAATATTAGTAACTCTTTTCCCCCAATTTCAGTTTAATGGAAAGAAGATTTTTTTAACACATTTCTAAACATGATAGTTTTAATAACTCATTTCTAATAACTGATTTCTTTTACCTTTGCCATGATGACAGCACATATTATTTTACTAGATATTTTTCAAAATACAAGCATTCAAATTCAAAGTGCTATTCAAAGGCTTAATTAGGGTAATAAGGCAAGTCATTGTATAATAGTAGTTTCTTTTGTAGACAATCAAAAATATATATGGCCTAAAAGAGCTAATAATATTGACCTTAAAATGGATTTCAAATTATTTAAACCTTTTATTCTAGCCAAAACAAGACAAATAAGACTTTTTTTCCAGAAGAAAAAATATTAGAGAAAAATACTGTTAAAATTCCTTGTTCTGTTAAACATCATTTGGGAAATATTTATAAAAAAAAAAAATTCTCATGAGCACTAATAATTTTGACTTCAACTGATAGTCGTTTTGAATATTCGTGATTACAATTATGACCAAAATAATCGTGATTATGATTTTTCCCAAAATCGAGCAGCCCTACCACTAGTTATTAACAAGATAGTAAGCATAGTAGTAAAAGCAATAGTAATTAATTATAGTAACGTTACTAATCTCTCGGTCTCTTTTGACCACCAGAACACATGCTCAGTCCACCTCATGCACATTTGGTCTCTCTTGCGCGCTTGGTCTCTTGGCATTCGTTTGACTTTTGTCCAGCTTTGCGCCTTATAAAATCTGACTTTCTTTCAGTGCAAAATAATACTAGTTATTTATGAATGGCATTATAACTTGTGCTTTATTATCAATTGTATACAGACTACAATTATATAAGTCTACATCTACTTTTAGCGTCTCTCATGCATTTTCAATCATATAGTACGGATGGAGATATTTTCTGAAACATGGTGAAAATACCAGTATAGATGAGGATACTGCATTAAAATTAAATCCTCTAATGTGAAAGCAACCAGAAGAGCATATTATTCAAGTAGTAAACCATATCCCATAATGCACATCTCCTAATATTACTATGTGTGATCAATAAAACAGAATTATACTTTTTTATTTAGATTTTTTTTATGTAACGGTTGTTCAGGACTCACTGTTGTTAGAGTTGGCATTGTTGAAGGAGCCACTGGCGGTGGGGTTTCCATCCTTGTCTTTCTCCTGGTTCTCGCAGTCCATGTTTAATGACCTGTATGGAGAGACAGTGGTTAGCCACAAACCCCAATTTCTCTGTGAGTCAACAGCAGGCATAACCAAGCAGCAGGTTAATGCTCGAAAGTTGATGACAGTTACAGATGGCATTTTATTTCATTCAAACAAAACATCGAAAGTAGCTGAAGTATTGGCGTTTTTACTTTGCTGTACTGTTTTATCAGCATATAACCTTCAGAGACTAGCATTAATAGTTTCAGTATTTTTTAAGTCTTTAGCTGAACAAGGCCACAATTTTTGGATATGAAGCATTAAAAGCAAACAAAGAAAAAACACAAACCATTTCACGGCTCGAAATGAACCTTTTTCTTGGCAGCACCTTTTTCTTTAGCGATGGTAAAACCGGTGTCATTCGCACGACTGACAGCATCATGACGATTAGATGAAGGATTAAATAACGTTAGAACATCTCGTGCTTAAAATGTGTAGATTCAGAGGCAAACACTGTTACCAGAAAACTCCGTCCCCCTGGCTTCACGGGGAATGCTTTAGTCATTTTCAAACAGACTTTAACCACTGGAAGTCTTTTATCCACTCTTCAAAAAGTGTAAATGCTGGATAGACATTCAGCACATGATCACTAATCATATCTGCCATTATTTGTAACTTTAGGTGGTTTCTAAAACTAAATCTGCCAGTATTTTTTCATTCTCTTGTATCCAGCCCTTTACAATTTCAAGGCTGTAGCTCCCCGGCATCGGAACTGAGTAATTGACAGCTGATATCAACCAATCCATTTGCGTTCTGTTCTAGCACTGTCGGCCAATTGGAAGAGCTTGAAGGCAGGACAAGCATTGTGGGCTTTGCTTACTGTAGCAAGTTGACATTTCAACTGTTTTAAACCATTCCTGAGCGCTAAGTTTGGTGTTTTTAGGTGCAAAGATGCCTAATGCGTAGGGGTGTAACGATACACTCAGCTCACGATTCGATATGTATCACGATATTTGGAATAAAAATTTAAAATTAAACTGAAATGCAAATTTTACCAAGTAAACTATTTTTTATGTATTTCTTTTGTTTCAACTTGTTAAACTGAACTTTCTTTAAGAAAATAAATTAAACAGGCCTGTCTCTGGAAAATAAAACAATTTAAAAACTTCTTAAAAAATATTATTGAAATGACAGAGACAAAATTAAGGAACAATTTAAGTAAAAGTGCAAAAAAAAAAAAGCTTTCTATTCAATTGAATTTAACAGTAAGAGCTTAAGGCTTTGCTTGGTCACTTGTGTTTTTTCTGTGTGCAAAAAAAATCCACATTTCCAGGTAATTAGCAGTTCTATAAGATAATCCTGAACTTATGTGTATCTGTCTCAGAGGTTTTTATGGATGGCTGTCTTCATGTTGGGCATGATGAGTGACAGGGTGGCCGTCTTTTCATTACACAGGACAGTCGTGACTCTTTTCAGCAGTTTAGGCAGGTTTTCTATTTCTTCGGCGTCGCTGATGTCGGCGCTATCAAGAGTATCATGTTGACGTGCATTTTTGTGTACCTCTGTACTCAAAATGGTTGCTCGTCGTATTCATAACTCTAAAATGCGATATGATTGTTTAAATAATTTGTACGTTTTCGGTTTCATTTCCACTGCTAAGTGCTGTTTATACTTCCCACGCGGCTCCTGAACGATCACTCCGTTCCACAAACTGAATGTTGTTTACTACTTTATTAGTCACAACCTGCAGGTTCTGTTTACTGAAGCAGACGCGCGCGTATGACAAGCCGTCTTAGCATTTAAACCTTTGTTCTGACTATCCATAAATATATTTAATTCATATTTAATTAAATTCATTTAGAGATATCTCTAATTATATTTTGACTAGTCGAATTATAATTATGACTAGTCAAAATATAATTAGAGATATCTCTAAATATATTTATGGATAGTCAGATCAAAGGTTTAAATGCTAAAACGGCTTGCCATACGCGCGCGTCTATCATACGCCCTCTGTAGTAACAGCTCACGTCTTGTGTGATTTTGCGGCGGCCAATACATCATTATATGAAGACAGAATGATATTTTAGGGTGAATTGTACCTTATAAATACAGTATGTGACTCTTTCAACACCATTAGGAGGTATCCATGTCGCTGTGCAAAGTATGTAAATCACTGTGAAGACTTTAAAACTTAGGATGTTTGACCCAGTATGCGTGTCAAAAAGCGGACGAGTCTAAAGCAATGACTGTACAACCGAAATGTTGCCAGACGTCTGATTTTGAGAGGATGGGCCATCCTCTATTTCAGCTCCACTCATCTTGGTCTGCTAACATTACTGCTGCTGCAATCTGAACTCATGTGCGACAGCAGGTGAAACGTAGCTCACGTGCAAACAGCTCAACTAATAAGAGAAAACGGACATCATATCGTAATCAAATCGTCATAACGCCACGATGCATAGAGACATTTTTGCATCGCAATAAATCGTACAACGATAAATCGTTACACCCCTACTAATGCGTAAATGCCTCCTAAATCCAAGCATGTGGCGAACATTTTGCTATGAAAAATGGTCGCAGGACAACAATTTTTTGCACAGCAGAAATGTGTAATGGAATCTAGACATGTGTTGACATTAAAGATGTACCAAACTTTCAGCCACCGAAAATTTATCGGCCAAAAACATTTAATGCCATTTAATGGGCCCTCTATTTTTTTGGGCTTCAGTTATTGCTGGGGCACTCTTCTAAATCTGGAAGCATTATTAACTTATATTGAAATATATTACTATCATTCAATATGGAAAATTATTATCGAGATTGCATTTTTGGCATATAGTCAAGCCCTAGTACACCCTCTTTTGACAATGAATATTTTTAATCAATTTCTCAGTGAATATAACTAATAATTGTTGGGGCACTTAACCAAGATTTATTAAACAGTCATATTTATTAAAATAAGAGTTTGGCCATCTAACATATTTAGCAATAGAAAGTCAATACATTCAAATTTAAAAGAGTATTTGCAAAACAAACAAACAAAAAATCCTAATCTTTAAAATCTTAATTTTCAAAATAATTTCTTAGATTTTTATGTTTCTCTTGGTTTTTCAGTTTCTTAAAATTGTATTATAATATTTGCCAATCTAATAATTAAGATATACTAATTTTTGGACTGTGGTACTGACTAATCTTATGTATATGCACAAATATTGTAAATCATCCTATAGAAAACTAAGAGAGAGAGAGAGAGAGAGAGAGAGAGAGAGAGAGAGGGGTGTATGCATTTATGCAAGGCGCTATATACACATCATACTTTCACAAATTCTACTACTCTAAAGAGAAAAGATCATTCTACAGCTTGTATCACTCCAAGACAATAATAAAGTCGTACATTTGTGTTTAAAGTTTACTGATCAGTTGAGTATTTAATTTATTCTATTTCAACACCACCTAATACAGCTGTCAGCTAAACAACTTGACCTTTGCAAGGCTCTAGTTTGCAACTAAAAGGTCACATTTAGTTTTTTTTTAAGTCTGTGCAGCTTTATTTTTTAGAGGCTGCACTGCCAATTTGACAAAACAACAAGCATCATCATTACTCTGCAAATGAAAAATATAAAATGGCAAACTAGTTTAAACCTTGCACTGAAGACCATTCATCAGATCAGCTCACAAAAGAAACACAGCGTGAGCTTTCAGTAAATATGTTTACTACATTGACCAGTCGTTTACGCAACGACTGATCAGCACCATGACTTGTCCAGTACAAAACCACATATGTTATTTTAACCTGTGTAAACAGCACTAACATATTTAACACTGAAATATAATAAAGCAGTGATGTGGCATAATAATTTTGATGATAATTGAATGCACAAATCAGCAGAATTTAAATGCTTTTACTAAGACCTACGTTAGAAACAATGTACAAAATATGTTGAAGTAGCAATTAAAATATAGAAGCAATATTTCTACTAAGCATTTAAATCAGGCGTGGGCCGGTATAATATTATAACTGTATGATAACGCATGCATAGATATTTACATTAATTGTCTATTGGAGGGACTGCGTCAATAGAGCTGCCATTTTAGTACAGGGTAGTGCTTCTTTGAAATGAATGTTGAACCAATGTGCAGTGGATGACTGGCCAGAAATATATACATAAATCTATGATCAGAAATATATACATAAATCTATGATCGATTATAATTTTACATTACTTTTCTACATCGATGGATCAGTGACCGCACTGGCATTGCCGACAAAAAGCGTGTGCTCATGTAACATGGAACATGTAAATGTATTATCCTCCCTCCCTGTTAAATTTGATTAATCTGTGTCCTGAAACACACCCCTTTCCTGCTTTCACCTCTCATTCTAACGAAGTAAGCAATTCGTTAGTGTTATGAAGGACTCGTTCACTTAGCCAACAATACAAGTTTCTGGCAGCGCAGCCTCTTTTTGTCATATTTCATTTACATTGTTTGCTGATTTTATTCAACAAAACTAGCATAAGCCTAGTATTTAGTGAGAGTTGGTGCTGCTTTGCCCTATGGTCAGTGCAGTAAGAGACTGCATTATCATCAGTAACGCAACTTTAGCACAAAAGTTCATAACATACAAAATTGTAAAAAACAAAACAAAATCTAAACTTATGAAATGTTCAGCACTTGTGCTTTGTTTTCTATGTTTGCTAGTTACTACACACGTACACAACGCTAAAGTCCAGCATCTTTACATTGGCTTTAGTCTTGACAAGTGCGGTTGAATGACGTTTGTCCTGGGAGCACTGTACAAACGTGGCGGCGGTATTGACGCATGCTCAGGGTCCCTATGCGATATCTAGTTTATTTATCTATGGTAGGCTTGAGCTCCATTCATACTAACATTCATACTGTATTAAACGTACAGGTCGAGTAGTAAGCTAAAATTTAAATGCATTACCTACTGAGCAGTAGCTGATTTTGGACGAAGCAAATATATTTTATTTTAAGAAACAATTAAAATATTTTGGAGCAGTTCCTAAACATTTTAGGCTAAAGAATTCAAATAAATCATTTACCTCTGCTGTCTTCATTAATTTAAAAAACACAGATTTCTTCACAATTTAAAACAGCATCTTTGGATAGCTTATCTGCTGGAGAAACTGTTGTACTCAAAAAAAAAAAAAAAAAAAAGGATATTACACTATAAAAGAAAGTTTTGAAAGTTTTAAAACCAGGACTTTTGTTGACGCGGTATACCTTGAAAATGGTTATCGTTCCATGCCTAATTTATATGCTTCAAGTTTTTAGGCTGCACCTGTTTTTAGGTTGCATCATGGTTATCATGATCAAAATACATACAAAAGTTGAGTCGGTTACATGTTTAACAGATGGTGCTGTTTGCTAATGAAAATACATCAACATCTCATTACAAAACTAAATTCAACAACACTTCAAACAGTATTATGTTTGCACAGGTAAAACAGGCATATGATAAACAAATGCAAAATTCGGTAAAACTAAAACAGCACTGGCTAATCCACAGCCTGAGGTGAGAAGATGTACTGACCTGAAGCTGCCATAGACGATGAGGAGGATGGAGATGAGGAAGGTTGACACCTGGCTGGAGTCGACAAGGGAGTACGCCCTGAAAACACAAGAGAGGTTTTCATTTAGTGTTTTCTCACAACAACTTTATTTATTTCTAGAACACATTGAAGTTCAAACACGGTTGACCAAAGATACATCTCTACAGAGATATAAAAGAGGAAAGAAAACAAGAAGCAACAACAACAAAACAACAAAAGAAGAGTGTGTCATACAATAGATACAAGATTGCCACCCTGTACAACCCTTGCTGGGTCATAACGTGCGCACTTTTCACACTCTTCTTACCTCAAGCTGTCAACTGTTGAAAAATGAATAAAAGCTCAGCCTGGTGGAGCTGTTACTAAGCCATGTATGAGAAAAGTCTCGTGTTACGGCATTCTCTCCCTGTCGGAGCCCTGCAGAGTGTCTTTTGAGACCTGCGTTTGCCTTTTGTAAATAACAAGCTTTTAAAGAAAGAGGTCAGACTGTACAGTGCACACTGAGGAAACTCTTAAAACATGATTACAGCCGGCGAGTGACAGTCTGTTTGCTGGATAAATAATGCAAGGGTGCCAACAAAAGAAGCGGACTTGATTGTGCGCATTTATGAAGTATGTATGAATAAGCTAAATGAGAACGAAGAAAAGTAGGATGGATCGCTGACCTTAGGCACAAATGACAATGGACAAATAAATTATTTGAAGAGAAATAAGGCATACACAGGCCTAGTCTGGAATCTTATGTAATCGTGTGAAAACATGGTAAGGAAGTACATCTAGGATTTTTCAGACATCTAGTGACAAAATGTTTTTAAATAAAGTGAGGAAAGCATATATTCCTCCATGTTTTCTGGCCCCTCTTATGTCCACTTGCTCCTATGAGTAGGGCTGGGCGATATTGCAAAAAAAAAAAGAAAAAATCATGATGTCATGTTTCATATCATTCAATATCGATAACTATTGAATATTTCTTAACAATACATTTAGGAATAGTAGGATTTTTAACCGCTTTATTTTAATTTACGAACATTACTAAGGCTGATTTTTGATCTTTTGATTTTTGATTATTTGACAAAAATATTTAAACAAAATATTACATCTCTTTATAATAAACATAAGTGTTAAAGAGGGTTAAACTTAAACTTAATAAATAAAATGTTACAAAGTCGGTGCAATGGTAAAGCGTAAATTTCAGATGGGAAGCTAGTGGCTGGGATTCACAAGAAAAGAAACCAAAAAGCCACTCTGGTGACATCCTAAGATCCTTTTTTATTTACAATCTTCTCACTGCTGCTATACGGCACTCATTTTTGCATGAGTTGTTATTCTGACCTGAAGTGACAAGCACGTGGATGCCCTGACCATTTACAATGGACTTTGCGCTCACGCTTCCCTGGCATCTTAAGTAACTAGGTGACCATCAAGCGTTTTCTCAGAGAATGACAAACAGACAAACCATTGCTGCAGCTCGGATGCAAGTTTATAGAGAAAAGTAAAAAGCGCTGCAGTGTTTGGCTGCTTTGTGTTTGTCTGAGGTAGTTAATCTGCTGTTATTACTGAAATGTGTATATTTCATAAAAAAAGTGTCAAGCAGATTGGTTAGTTCTACTTGCATGAATCGCAGTGCGCTCGGGGCATTCAGAAAAGTTAAGACGTTTTTTATATTAGGTGCGGCTGGAAAATGCATGCAGTTCACGTGCGCACTGCTTGCAAAACATGTGCGCGTCACTCCTATATGCCCGCCGTGTAAGTTGCACACCTCCATTGGAAATTACAAACTTACAACCTAAGCTTATTGCCACTGCTTCCAAGACACGCGATTAACAGCCACATTTTAATAAAACAGGGCTCGAAATTTCGACCATTTTGGTCGCATATGCGCCCGAAATTTTACTCATGCGACTTCAAAATATATTAGGGAGCATGTGTGCGAGTGCAAAAAATTGTTGTGTGCGACCAGTTTTTTACTGCACACTGTTCACCACATGCGCGCATTCGGGAGACATTCACGCAGAATGCATCTCTGCACTTGAAACACGAAACGCAGCGTTCAGGAATGGTTTAAAACAGTTGTCATGTTAACTTGCTGCAGTAAACAAAGCCAAGTTCGTAATGCTTGCCCAGCCTTCGCGCTCTTCTTATTGACCCACTACTGCTCTAGCACTGAAATATCAGCTGTCAATCACTCAGTCAACGCCTTCTGTCTTGGGATGACAGAGAGAGCTACTACCGCGAAAAACTGTAAAGCACTGAAGATGAGAATGAAGATTACACTGACAGATTTTCTTTAAGAAACCATAGCATCTTAAGTTACAAATAATGACACATCTTACTAGTGATCATGTGCTAAATGTTAATCCACCATCTACACTTTTCGAAGAGTGGATAAAATTCTTCCTACACTTTTCATAGCAGACTTGAAGCCAATGGATGGAATTTTCAGGTAACTGCTTGCCACATCTAGCACAAGAACTTGTTTAATCCTTCATTTAATCGCCAGATGCTGTCCGCCATGCAAATGGCAGATATTTGTAAAATTTAACACAACATACACCATTGCTATTAACATGACGTATGCATATAATAAGGTACAGTATATGTCAAAAACATCAGTGCAATATTAGACACGACCTGTGAGAACAGCACAGTTATATCGTTAACAGATTCATTCATTTCAAGCAGTGCGTGCAGGGCTGGTGAGCACTCAGTGTACCTTTTGGTCCCTCAGTTATGTTATAAAAATCTATTTTCTTGTGTTAATGGGATTTCGTTGAGACATATTTTCCTCACGCTTGCATATATATTTTTTTGCTTGTTAGTTTGATTATTGTTGATTTCAAATGCAATAAATATGTTTGTATAACACTTGTAGTAGCGGTGCTTATAAGTGCAACTAAATTTTGGCTGATGCGCTTAAATTTTTAAAGTTAGGAGCACTGGTGCTACCAAGCAAAAAAGGTTAATTTCGAGCCCTGTAAAACTATAAAGCTTCATACCAAAACTACAAACCGAATCTTTTTTTTTTAATAATATTGACAATGATGTTTAATTAATAACTATCAATAACGATTTTATCGCCCAGCCCTACTTATGAGTACCACATCCAGGAGCCTGAGGTGTGTAAGTGAATGGCAAATTATGGGAATGATTCATAGAGACTCAAAATCATTTTTCCAAAACATTTACATTCACAGTTCTTGGTGGTTGTATGATTTTCCCAACTGCATCCACACTGCCAAATATAATATATTAGAGCTGCATGATTTTGGCTAAAATGAGAATCACGATTTTTTGCTTAAAATAAAGATCACAAATTTGTCACGATTCTGTAGGTGTAAAATAAAGGTATGGTAAAAACAAACATATGCAAAACATCAATAATAATATGTGTAGGTCTACTAGTTTCTATAAATAATTTTATTCTACTTATAATAATTCTGATGTTTATTTTTATGTTTGAGATATATGCTTGCAATCTGTCAACATTGACAACATTTTTAGAAAATTTTATTAGACATTTAGACATTTGTCATTATCAGATTAAATTCAACAACATATATAGGCTAGAGTAGGCTTACTCACACTGTATCATTTATTTTCATGCACAACTCTGTTTACTATGAAAGAAAAAACATCAAATGCTTGTCGCAATCATAACTCTTCAATGGATATGATTATTTTAATGAAGTATTCGCTTTCGGTTTCATTTTCACTGTTAATTTCACTGTTTCAACATCATTTGGAGGTGCCCATGTCACTGAGCAAGGTATGTGACACAATGAAAGACTCGTGCGGCCGCCTTTTCTTCTCTTCTAAACTTGAAAAAATGTTTGTCAGAACCGTAGAAATGCTTGATTAAGATCTGTGGGGGGGCGAATACACACGCACACACATACACGGCTTTGGTTGGAAACAGGTTGGAAATAAATTTTCCATTGTAGTTTTCTTAAAGCAGGGTTCGACAATAAGGATGGCCCAATATGCGTCCAAATGTGATCTTAGAATCGAAAAGCAGCACGACTGAAAACAATAACTGTTCGCGCGAGACAAAGCAGGTGAATACCGTATGAGGATGATTACTCTCGCGCATCACATCTCCTGTGCACGCGAGTAATCAACCTCTCATACGGTATGTTAACTGCTAGACTGTTAAAAAGCGCGCTCGCGCTCCCGTTTACTTGCGCTTTTTTCCGTCCACTTGCGATCGGTTCTCTTTGAAAAAGATTAGACAAAAAACGATGCTTGTGTACCCAGTCCTGCAGCTTTTAAGAGCTCAAGATTGAAAAATATATAAATTTGTAAGCAACAGCAGCAGTCTCTGCTTTCGTTTTAATTATGCTCAGGCACGTGATAATCCTTTCATTATAACTCTTGGTATGTTTTTACCTGCTTTCTTTTGCTTAGTTACTTTTGTTAATATACTTTAATTATCATCCTTTACAATAACATTTCTTTAATATGAGATTAACTCCCTATTTGTGTGTAGTAACTGCTGATCTGTGACCTTTAGCCAGGACAGATTACTGTGCATATTTTTGATACATGACAATAGATCTTATTAAATGTAAATTAAAAAACAAAACAAAAAAAATGTTGAATAAAAAAAGTGCATATACAGCTTTATATGTACTTGTTTTGACACATTTATGTCGCATAGAAATAATAATTTCTTTTTAATGTGGTTAGAGATGAATTTGGCAAAACCTTTATTCTGAGCCCTAAAAAGTAATGTGAAATAAAAATCATAAAACAAGGAGGCATGTATACAACACAACATCTAAAGCAAGTCATTTTAGCATGTCAAAGTCACATTTATTTATATAAAATATATTTCCCAAAATTGTGGCTAGTGAAAATAGCAAGTGGCTAGTAATGTTGGAAATCTACTAGCCACAGTGGCTGGAGAGAGAGAGAGAGAGAGAGAGAGAGAGAGAGAGAGAGAGAGAGAGAGAGGAGAGAGAGAAAGACAGAGAGACAGAGAGAGATGGTTTCTGGAAAGAATTTAGGTACTATATTTAGATGTTGACAAGTGCTAAAATCTAAAAACTTCCAAAACAAA